CTCTCAAACATGCTCCTTACGAGCTGTTGGCTTCTTGTTTTTCTCTATCTTTCTCACCAGTTTTATTTCCTTCTCCTTCTTGCCTGCAATTACTGTCATTCCATTGTCTATGTTATGGATTATTCTTGCACACTCATCCATTGCACTTATATACTTTTCTCCCTGGACCAATCTTTCCTTCCTCAGACATTGTCTGCTTGGGCAGGTAACAGTATTTCTCTCCTATCTTCCTTGCTTCTGTCCCTCCCTTCTTTGTTCATTCAGTTCAATGTTCCTTATCACGAACCTCAACCTTTCAGGGTCCCTGCCATCATCTGTTCCTACTCTAGGACCTCTCTCCTTCTACACTTACTGGTTGTGTCCATGAAATCCCCTAGTTGATATATTTGTGTCTGGATGTGGATGCTCACAGGCTATTTCACATTTCTTCACCTTCAATTCATTACTGTTTTTATTCTCTTACATCTCATCTTTGCCATCACTGGGGCAAGATTCTCCAGGCAGTTGTGTGGACAACTCTCCTTATCTACACCATCTTGCTGTTTTATCTCCTGATGGGTTTTGGCTTTCACTGGTTGCCATTCTTCAGTCACTCCACCATCTTTGAGAAGAATACACACCATTTCATTTTCAGAGGCCCCTTTTCATTTCATAGGATCTCACCAGTTGGCTGGTGTTGCCTCTAAAGGTATAGTTATACAAAATTTCCTTTGAGCCAGGATAACAGAAAGCACTCAGACCATCTGTCCTGGTTCTACGAGGGCCTACTCTGAGACGGACTGTTGCACAAGATCACTTAAGGTATTCTCTTGGTATACATATTTACTCAATTGTCTGATCCAAACTGTACTAATACCATGGACTATCATGAAAAAACCAGCACCCCCTGGTGATCTGCCCACTTTGTTGGTTCACACTTGCTAGCTTTCAAAAATATGGTTTTGCATTCACAAATTGCACTGTCTCTAGTAAAAAACTTTTCCAATGGGATCCACTGAGGATCCAAGCACTTTTCTGGGTCTTCCCAATGTGAATTCTCCTCTTTCTTTGAGTGGAGCATGGTAGACCCTTGTCACTTACCAATGCCTAGCTGTTGGGGTTGTGGGACCATTGGTTGGGCTTAGCACAATATGGTGGGACAGTGGTGACACTGTCAGTGTAGTACACCCTCACAAACAATAACTCATATCACTTGTACCTTTCTTCTGCAGCCAAAGTTTGTTCAGTAGAGTTGAGGTGAGCACACACTGTACTAAACCATAATACATAACTAATGTGCCTTCCTCCTGCAACTAGTGTCTGTACAGTAGAGTTAAGGCAAGCACACAATACACATATTCATGCTGTTTAACTAAAATGCCATCCTCCTGCAGTTGGTGTCTGTCCAGTAGAGTCTGTTCAACAGAGTTAATGTGAGTCTAAATGCACCCCAACCTCACTACACATGTGGGCTCACTAGCTGCTTATGTACAAATGCTTGGACAGTCATGTTCTCATTCTGCCTGTTCTTTCAACACATGGAGCTCACTTATGTCTCCCCCTCCACTTCATTCTTGATTAAGAATATATACCCTGGTTGAGACAAGATATGATCCTTCGTGAGTGTGCCCTATGGATCCTCTGCTATTGGGTGTCATGCTCCTTGGGCTTCCCTTTAGCCATTTTCTGAAGGCAACTCATCTAGGTACAATTTTGCACTGGCTCCTCCACCAATTCAGCATGGGACTCTAGCTAAACTATGTGCAGAGGTTAGTTATCATTTTGAAAGTTAATATTTTCCTCACCTGAAAATATATTTCCAATAGATACTCACCTTTTCACACATTTCCACCCATCCTACCACTTCCAGTGCAATTTTTTCTTGCCTCATCAAAGTTATCACAAGTGCAAATACATAGGGGGAGTTACAGTGCATAGAGGAGGGCTTTTGTTATATGATGATGTCATCATGCACCAGTACAGTTCATGTTAAAACGTGTGATATTTAGATGGAATTTGCTTCAAGGCTATTAGCATGAAAGCTCTTAGGTAGACACATGAGGAAGATAGCTAAACTGTGCATGCAGGTAAGTATCAGAAATACATTTTCAGGTAAGGAAAATGTTAACTTTTGATCTTCATATTATAACTCTATGAAGATGACATTTTTTTATCTAAAATACCTATTTTCGTTTTTTTTCTTCTTTTTTTTTGCTCAGCATAGTCTAGTGATTAGCATACTCATACTGTGAATCCCAGGGTTCATGGCCTGTTGCTACAGAAATGCATGTGCACTGCACTTTGAACCATAAGAATAACTGTCAAATTCCACTAATTGGTCAGACAAGAGGAACTCAAGAGTTGATGGTCTACTAGATGCTGTTGACCATCTGACTTCCCTTTACACTATAAGCTCGAAACTAGGGATAGCTCTGAATGAAAATGTTGAAATAAACACAAAAAAATCAAAAAACGTGAGAGTTCCTATTTAGGTATTTTGGTTGTTATAATTTTGTTAAAAATAAATATAATGTTGAAAGTAAGAATTCATATTCAGTATTCTTGATGTGTAATCATAGTTTCCAAACAAAACTGACAAGATTTTCCATATTAATTACTTTTAGAGGGTGAGTATAGTTTTGATGTTAGCATATAGTTTCCTGTTAATGTTCCAGAACTGGAACTAAAATCTTTTGATAAATTAAAGTTTAAATATGTCTGTAGTCCCTCATCTATCATATATTGAATTTGTTTTGATTTTATAAAAATTTTGCTGGTTGAATTATGTACATTTAATTACATTTTGCTTTTATACATTGTGTTTTAACTTGTTCTTACATTTTTCAATTTTTGTAGCATAGATTCTTTAGGGGCCAAATAACATGTAAACAAAATTAAAGCACAGGTTTGAGTTTTACGAGTTGGCTTGAAATGCAATCTAGTATAAAGAAAGAAAGAAACATTACAAGCTTCAAAATGATGTATGTAGTTATATTTTTGCACTGTATTCTATCTTTTGTTTTCTTTTTTTTTGTGTGTGACTTTCAATATTATTTCAGACAGGAAAGTCTTCAGACAGGTTTTATTTTAGTGTTCCAACAACGCAGAATCGATTAAGGCAGGTACATTTCTATAATGACATATTCACGAACAGAATCTACAGTAAACAGTTCCGTTGTCACTGCTTGTATCTAATATGTTCTTGAGAGTATTAAAATACTAATGCTTGTAACTTAAAAATATATAAACTACAAATCTAAAAACCTATTAGTCTGTTCACACAACAAGATGCATAGTTTTCTTAGTTTGCTAGTTCTTTTTGTTAAATGTGTAATGAAAGCTAATTATAAGCAACATTTTTGAAATTAAAATGTATCAAGTAAAAACTACAATCCCATAAAATCTGTTTACCACACGAATTATGGCAGAAGATTTATGGTTTTTGCCTTTAGTCAGACTGAAATAAAAAATACTCTTTGAATTATCATCTTTGTTTTTAAAAAGTATGAGAATTTCTCTCTCTATATATATATATGTATATTTATATATATATATATAA